GACTTTAAGCCTCTCTGCAGAAACACTCCCTCTTACCCCTGGTGCAATCTCTTTTACCGCGAGGTCCCTTTCCTTGTCTTCCTCTGTCCTCGATCCATCTCATTCATCCATAAAACAGCTGCAGCACCATGCCCCTGCTGTTCTTATCGGCACCTCTTCCAACACAACATCCGCCCCGGTAGGAGTCAATCCAAAGTGTGGCATCCCACGCTCTGGCTCTGAAAACTCTGTTGGCAATATCGCAAATATCATCGCTTGCAGTCTCAGTGTCCCTGTTGTCTTCTGGCTCATCTCTCGCTGTAACCTCCGAAAGGCTGCCGTCGGCAAGTGCAGTCCAGTTGTCTTACCCGCCTCCCTTCAAGATTTTTGACTCAACTCCAGGTCGTATCGAATTTCGCGCATTTCTCCTCGTTTACCTTTTCACCCTTCCCCTCCAACTTATCACCACAGGCTCTTTTCTCGAGCAGGGAACCACAACTCTTGTAGTCTTTACAGCCATCCATGCAGGTGCCGTGGCTGTTCTTTTCTGGATGCTCCTGGGTAATGCCCTCGTGGCAACTCAAATCGTTGAGGATGGCTCACCATCCTCACTGATTGTGCGCCTTATTCCTTATTAGGACCCCGTTTCTTCATTTCTTCCTGACGCCCACGTGCCCAGCCCTTTTATGTTCTCACCATGATCTTCATGACCGCCACCACTTACATCTCCCTTGACGTCGCTTTTACCATCACAAGCACATTCGAGCCGGGTAACCCAAAGGATTCCCTCCACTCAATTGCCCTCTTCATCCTCACCTCGATATGGCCCGGCTTGTACGTTTCACTCTTCTATCTTTCCCGCGCTGTTTTCATCGCCTGACGCCACCCCTTTCCAGTGCAGCAGTGCTTTACTTCGTCTTAATGATGTGGATCGTGGCCGGCATCCTTCACGAGCGCCGCCCTTTAGTCTATTATGTACTGGCGGGTATCCTTTTTATCCTCGCACAGCTCGCATACTTTCTTCTTTCCCGCACCATCTGCGATGGTACGAATGCCAAGGTTGATGGCTCGTTCGTTGCGACAGTGCTGGAAACTGCAACCGTTGTTGTACTCTACCTGGCCTGGCAGGGCATTACAGAAGGTTTGTGCTTCCCTCGTTATGTTTATGGACTGACGTTCATCATCGACGCTTCATTGATAGAATACTGGACTGAAGATGCATACTTTCCGCAATAGTGCTGCGCGTTCTCCTGGCTAGATGATTGTGCGTTATGTTCCGCTATTAGCAATGATGATTTTTGTTTCCCCTTCAACTTCCGGACGACGGAACCACACGTTATTGTCGTGTCCGCGCTGGCTAAAATGTCCTTTAATATTTGATCCGCCGGATTCGATAGGAAAGCTGGTACGTTTCATTTCAAGGCTCTCATTTACTTATACATCACCAATCCCGCAAAAGTGAGCACGGGCCAAAAGGAGAAAGGGGAAATGGGTAGAAGGAAAATGCTTATATGTAAACAAAAGAATGGGAAAGGAAGGAGTGTTATCAGCGGATCCCAGCGCCAGAGACAAAAACCGCAAAAAATAGTCAACCGCCCTCATCTGCTCGCGACCTACCACTCGCACTCACGCAATGGTCGTTGTGTTATGGTGTGTACCACCTCGACGCAGATCCACGACTCACCGTCGTCTCGCGATCCGAGCCGACCAAGCTTCGCAAACATGCTGGCAGCTCTCGACGCCCTCCGCTGCGATGCCCCAGTGATTGTGGCCTGGGAGGTCCGCGCACGGAGAAGCCGCCAGGGATGCAAGAGAGCCTGTGCTGGCGATGTTGGCGACGGTGGCTGCGTCTCGGCACGCGCCTGGCCACGTGCGGGATAAGCGTAGGCCAGCACGTTCGCGGACCAGATGGAATCGCACTCGCGACCTGGCACGTCGATGTACTCGGATGTTGACGTTGTCGTCACAGAAAATGCGGAGCACTGCCATTTTCCCAGAAAGGGTACAACGGGGAAGGTGATGACTAACGCAGAAGGAAAACGCTTAAAGGATATACTCGCACCTCGTTTGGATCCTCAATCTCGGGTGGTGTGAAGTAGAACGAGTCACCGTCATCGTCGCCATCACACGCAGCCCCGTCACAGCCTGCACTGATGTACCCGCTGTCTGCCACAGACGGCCAATATACGCACCCTCCCTCATTCCCGGTTGCATCCCAAGGTTCACGTGGATCATCTGGTGTCATACGTCCGAGCCACGACCACGCAAACACGCTATCCCGGTCGGGCGGTGGCGGTGGGCGCATCGGAAGTGGCTTCTCGCGCCAGCACCCAGTCTTGGTGCTTCCCGACTCTGGCGGGACGCACAAGAGGCCGTCGAAAGTCGACGATGCGCGAGCGGGTGGGATATTGTTGCCAGTGGGGGCAGCAGAGCGGAAGTACGCGTCAAGAAGGCTCTGCATGTCTGCGAGTGTGCTTGGCGCGGGTGTGCATGGCATCGGTCCGCAGGTGATCGGCGTATCTGGTGCATCGAATACCGGTGAGTATGGCGTGGGTGGCGTGGGCGGTTCGGAGGGCAGGAGTGATGCGCCAGAGAAGGTAATTAGTTCGTCCGAGGGGTCGTACATGGCGACAAAAGTGAGCGCCGTCTGCGGCGGGACGAGCTCTGACCAGCGGTGCTGCCGCTGGGTGCTGTGAGGCACGGCGGTTCTTGAGGAGCCACTGTCGCTTGACTCCGATGCGTACGAGGTCAAGCCTGTGCGGATGGTTAGCGGGGTCTGTTGGTGGGTGGATGAGCCACTTGGCATTAGAACTGGTTTCGGGAAGACATGCCGATGTAGTCTTGGGCCGGTTGCCGGGGTGAGTATGGGCACGGCGTGGCAGCATGTTTTGATGGTGTTGCCCACGCGAGTTATTGAGGAACATTGGAGAGGAGAGTTGAAGGTCCAAGAAATACGGGAGTAAAAGGGAGTGCTAGAATGGGGCTCTGCAGGACTGAGAGTCGAGAGAGACCGTGAAAGAATGGACAGAGAAGATATACGATATAGTGAACTGCCTGGTGCCCACACGGTAGGGAGGCCTCATTGACACCAAGGAAAAAGCTGCCTTATAGGCACATGCGAGGCAGAAACCTCGTCGTTTGTCACGGCTTCTTCATTGAGGCCTCGTGGCCTGAGAACCCCCATTTCTCGAGAAAAGCTGTAGATGATGGGAAGTCTTGCTGATGCCTGTTGAGAGGGTGCACACCGCTGCGGCGTGCATGGCTAATTACGGCATGTCGAGTGGCTGGCATATGTTGCTAAGTTATTCGTTATTTGATAGTGTATGTTCGGATGCTCTTCATTACTCCGATAGGTACAAGATGTGCATGCAAGGAACGGAAACGTGTAAGCATATTGAGGAGCGATCGCATGGCCTAGGTCGAATTGACTGCAGTTGCCGCACCAGAATGTAGTCTGAAGATGCACGTTGCGATGACGGAATGCGTGGCTTGCTGAAAGCGGTAATGTGCTGAGACTAGCTAAATGATGGGACGTGAGATTATCCAGAGGACCATGGTTACAAAGCTAGTACAGGCGCGCAGTACACAGCAGAGAGAGAGGGAGGGGAGTTGAAGACGACGATGCTAAGGGCTGAGATGAGATGGGCGCGTGATTGACCGCGCTTGTAACGTTGTAACTCTCGCACGATCAGCTGCGCGTTGCTTTCTGTGGCTGATTTGATTTTCGAAGAGAAGCCACTGTGCAGCAAGCTTGAGCATCATCGTTGGGAGGGGGGGGGGGGGGGGTACAGACCATCAAGGCAAATTATAACATTTGTGTGCAGGGACGAGTACTGGCCATATACGGGGTGCGCATAGCAAGTAGCACATGTCTCGTACCCCTTGTGAATTGCGGAACGTGCCCACCTTTACATCACTCGCCGTCGGTACCCGTCACATCGGCTACCCCCGTTGGTGAGAACATTCCAGAATCCATCGTGGAAAATATCACAAAGTTCTGGGGGCATGATAAATAGGCACTCACAATGAAGAGGTTGAAGGCCAGGGGAGGGTGAGCTCGGGGTGAACCGGAAATTAGGACCCGAAGTCGGGATGCATGAAGGTGTGTGGATCCGAGAAATTGAGTTAGATATATTGTGATGTTCTCGCGAGTGGCGAGCGGAAATGAAGTAAGAAAACGTCCGTCCTCCTGCAGACGTCAGTCCCTGCACAATGTTCGAATAGCTCACGCGAGGTACCATGGAACCAAAACCCCTACTTTGTCCAAGACTTCTCTTTTCCAGCAGCGAAAAAACCAATCGTACGATCATAGGGAAAAGCGTGTGACATGCCCAGAATTAGAGGGGCAGATCGATGCAGGACCAGGAGAATTGCGGACTAGCGATTGACCCATAGCCGGATACCCCATAAGGCCATGTATGAGAGTCGCAGGGTCATTTGAAGTGCAAGGCTCCTCAAGTATTCCACGCGGGTTATGCGTGAGAGTTGTATCGACGCACGACACACGATTCCTCTTCGACCTGCGCCACGATGCGCCGTAGTTTGAGCATCACCTGTTCAAAACGCACTGCAAGTAACCGGAGATATCAGTCAATGTCCCTCCCTCTCTTTCCCCAAGTTGAAAGAGAACTTTCTCACCTTTTTCGTCCCCTCCTTCATATGGAGGCAATGTTAGAAACTGCTCTGCGACGAGCTCAGTCTCCCGTGCTACGTGGATGCGGTGCGTGCTTTCAACCCCGTGCGTAAATTATAGAGAGCTCTTTCTCTGCTTGGTTGGTCTTGTTGGGGCTATACTCCGTTGAGAGTGAGTCGCTGGGTGAATTAGCACGCAAGATGGGATCGGCATATGGAAGGTCGCTCATGTAGACAACGTGATGGCTACTCTGCTCTGTGCCCCTGATAAAGGGAGAATACCGCAAGATGTGCCGCATTGCAGCGCCTTGGTGCTCATAGGTGATAAAGAAGGATTCAAGGGGATTCAATGTTACTGCGATGGCTAGTAAAATAAAATAAAATAAAAATGACCCCGACCCGGATTGAACGGATGGCCTTGAGGAAACACCAATATGCTGGAATCTCACGCTCTACCACTGAGCTACGGGGTCTCCTAGAAATTTGTGACAATTGATAATGAGCTCGAGCAACAATTTTGCGAGGATCAGGGCTTGGCTGTGACTTCGCGACACGGTATCCGCTATCCGCCTTTATTGCTCTCCTTGCTATTTCACTCACGCCCACCTCAACGTCACCGCAACGCGATGAGTGAAAATCTGGGGTTATCCAGGCGGAGAGTCAACACCGGTCCAGCATCCTCCTCAGAGCCATCCTCGTCATCATTCACCTCTCATGCGGGTTCTGCATTTGCTGGGGGTAACAAAATCGCCTTTGATCCGCGTGACCTCGAGCGGGATGAAGAAGAATCAAAGACAGGTGGAAAAATACCCCGACTTACCCTCATGGAGGAAGTTCTGCTTCTTGGTTTAAAAGACCACCAGGCAAGTCCACCTATATAAAATCTTATGTCCACCTAAACTCATACGTAGGGTTACTTATCTTTTTGGAATGACAACATCTCCTACGCGTTACGTGGTTGCATACTTATCGAGCTCGCCCTGCGGCGGCGCATTGCCGTTCACAAGGATCCAAATCGTCGTAGACTTCCTCTTGCTGAGCGTCTAATCGAGGTCACTGATGACCGTCAGACGGGTGAGACCATCCTTGACGAGACGCTCCGCATGATGAAGGCGCAAGAGTCTGAGCGAATGTCTATCAATTCATGGGTCGACCTTCTCTCTGGCACGTCCACTTGCTCAAACCACCACAAAGTGTCTGACACGCTAACATATTATTCTATAACAGGCGAGACGTGGAATGTGCTCAAAATTGGCTACCAGCTTAAGCAGGTCCGCGAGCGCCTTGCCAAGGGGCTCGTCGACAAGGGTGTGCTCCGCACAGAAAAGCGCAACTTTCTTCTCTTCGATATGGCCACGCACCCAGTCGCTGATCTACGCATCAAAGACGGCCTTGTCTCTCGCGTCGTCGCGCTGCTCACCGCTAGCACGTCAGTTGTTCCACCCGCCGCGTTCGAGGCGCCTGGGACGCAGATGCGGGCGCTGCGGACTGTGTGCCTCGCGTGCTCCGCCTACGCCGCGAGCGTCCTCGACAACGCGTTTGCAAAACTCGGGTATGAGGAGCGCGAGATGGCATTTGCACGGTGCGACGATATCCTTGCCGAGTTTGCCGCCTGGCCATTCGGTACCAGCACCCCAGGAAGCACGGGATCAAGAAAGAGGGACGGCCCGCGCATCGCAATGGGCAGCTCTGGTAGCAACGGCCGCGAGGCAGTGCTTGGATTGCTTGTGGAGGTGCGCAAGGAATTGGTTGATGGAGACGAGGACACTGGATGCGAGCTCGTCGCTGGTGTTTTGGAGGTCTTGAGCAAGTTAGACTCACTACTATGACATGCCTCTACCCGATGTATGTCTCATTCTTCGACGCCTTGGTTCAAGGGCCATTGATTTTACTTTCTCTCGAAGTGTCTCGACGGTTTCCCACCGAAAAACTGCGCGGCTTGCGGACTTTTATTTGCAGGCAGGTTGTGGCCTTGGACGAAACCAGGATTGCTAAATTGGGTATACCACCGCTTTGCTCGGGAGATAATCGAACATCATTCGAACACATAGGACAGAAATGTCCGTGCACACTAGGAAGGGCGAGTAGTAAACACCTCTTCAACCAGAAAAGGAATACAGTATGTCGCGCAAGTCGACCATGGTTCAGACGGAACTGCGCGAACGACGCTTCAGTGTTCAGTGAGAGGGGTGATATCCGAGTGTTATGTAACAGAGTTGGTGCTCAGCTCGCAACGTGTCGGCTGGCCATGGCGGGAATACTCACGTGCGCAGTCAACAAGTAGAGCAGCCTGAGTCCTTTAGAGTCAAACACAGCCGGGTCCCAAAGGATAAACATGTTTCTATATACATCTCGGAAGGGCCAACCTCCGAATCGCTATGACACCAGCCACAGTGATCAGCCAAAAGTGGGGAAGCCCACACCCATGTAGAGCGCCACGATACCGCCCGCATAAAGATGCGCCAACTTGAATATGGACCTACTTTTGATGCAAGCTGGCCGAGGGTTCATTTAAGGCTATACCAACAAGCAGACATTCTATCCCGAGCGAAGAACCGTTGGGATTCATCAGAGACGAATAGTGCGATGGATCTGTGGCAACAAAGAAGTGACCAGATGGAGAGATAGTGCGGGACCTCGGAGAGGAGAATGCTTCCCTAAAGTAAACGGTGACTGAGTGAGCAAGCAAGAGTCGTAAGTTTGATGGATGGAGACCGAGGAGGATAGCGTAGGGAATTGAAAGGAGGGCGTGCGGAACCTGAATTTGGACATCAAGCCGAGTACCACGGATCTGGACATCACAGCACTCATATGGTCAGATTGGGCCAAAGCTATCATGCAATAGCTCTCTGTGTGGGGATAACCATAGCCGTAGTGCTGATCGAGGGCTGATGCTAATATCTGTCGCTACAATGGCTCATATTCCTTAGTTGACTCGATTGCACGATTGCACGATCTCGATCATTCCAGCAAACATTGCGCTGACTGAGCGGCCGACTCAGCTGCTAGTGTCGATACCGTCGATACCAGCAAGCCATCTGTTATACCTGTTTCACAGAGAATCTTCCCCAACATACTACATGGCTTCGCCAGGCTTTCTGAGTGGCTCCCTTAGGACTCTGAGCTTTCGGCCCTCTATCCTCAGAAGCTGGAGCTCCCGCGGAACGCTGAAGAGTGGCATTTGGGATTTTATACTGTACGTCAGTCATCAGTCCATCAATCATAGTATGAGATCTCTTGATTAATTCCATGTACTTTTGTGATCTCAGATTTGGTTATCCTTTGTGGTATTAATACTCTACAGCTGGCTTCTCCTTGCGCCAACCCTACAATTATGAAGATTGCCCACTCGCTCGAAAACCAGCCTGACCCCCTTCTTGAACCCGTAGCCGTCATTGGCTCGGGTATTGCTGGGCTTATAACAGCCCATGTTCTACTTCAAGATGGTTTCAGGAGTGTCGAGGTGCTCACTTGCGACAGATCCGTTGGCGGCGTCTGGTCTGAGGAGCGTGTATATTCGGGGCTCCAGATTAATAGGTCTGTCTTGCTGCCAGTCTGTCTCATCTGTTGGCTCCAACATAGCATGGATGTAGCGTGCATGGAGAGTTCAGGTTTTCAGCCATGCCGATGCGCACGCCTGATTGCTCCGCCAAGACTGGAGGTCGATTATCCGGCGAGGACGTGCGACAATACATGGAGGATTTTGCCGAGCGATTTTTAAAGGGTAGAATTCGTTTCGAAACTGAGGTTCTCAATATTCGCCGAGGAGACCACGAGCGGGGATGGAGGGTGCTTGTGCATGACGGACAAACGGGCGCAGAGAAGGTATCATATTATACTCGTATCATTCTATGCACCGGAGTGAGTCTTGTCCGTGACGATTGAGACATTCTTTCATCGTTATTAGGGATGTAGCAGGCCGCACTACCCAAAGTTATTGACTCCTGCTGAATCCAAGGCGGCCCGATTTTCAGGCCCTGTATTGCATTCAATGCACTTCGGGTTGCGAATCGACGATCTCCTTACATGCACAACACCAGTTGATTCCCACCCGGCCTCAAGTCTACCCATCGTCGTCGTCGGAGGTGGAAGATCGGCACAGGAGTGCGTTCGATTAAGCACACACATTCGGACCGTATCTGATGAGTTGCCTGCAGTTGTGCTGCCTTTCTTGCCAGAGAAAACCGCCCTGTTACAATGATATTCGACACTACAGACGCTTTCCTGGCAAGTCCAAATCCCTTACCTGCTTATATAAGGAAGAGCAGGTATTATGGTCAAATTTTCACCCTGATTCCGATTCTGAAGAAAATGACAGGTTTCTCTCCATAATGTCCCCCCACAAGGAATTGCGCAGTCGCATAGAGTGAGGGTGTTCTCTTGATGCCTGGCTGCCGCCCTGATCTCCATTAGGCGTTTCCTGCACACAACGTGGCTCGGCTCCATTATCGTGCGTTGCTTTTGGGAAGCCCTGGCAAGCTACTCGGTAAATACATATTCCAGCTCTTCATTCAGAAACATCCCTTGACACTCGGATACAGTTTTATGTTCTAGGCATCCCACGCGATTCCCCACTTCGTCGTACTCATTCCATATTTTGGAACACACGCACAAATGACGAAGGGATTCCTCGTGAGGGAAGTTTCCATGCGCTCGCCGTTTCTGGGAGAATCTCCCTTGTCGCACCCGCGCGTGTGGCAAAGTTCGGTGACGATGGGCACTCAGTAGTCCTCGAGGATGGGCGTGTGTTTCCCGCCGCAGCCGTCATCCTCGCAACTGGGTACGAGTCTACCTGGAGTCCGATCTTTGATGGTAAGTGTATGGTGCATACGTGGCAACGAGACATACCTACTCTCAATGGGTAGGGGCGTCGATGGAACAAGTTGGGTTAGGCCGGCATCCTCCAGGCTCAAAGACGAAGCATCGCTGGGACTATGCCAGCCTTGCTGAACCCCCTGCCATACCGGAAGAAAGGCCCTGGACGGCTTCGATATATCGAGGACTAATCCCCGCGAAGAACATCTTGATTCGGGACTTTGCTGTCAACGGAGCGATGGTACTTTACTTCCTTGAGTCCGGGATAATACTGGTACCACTACTCACCATTGCATAATTTTACGAACAGTTTTCTGCGCACCACGCATATGTGACCGAGGTGTCCGCCCATTGGATTTCTGCATACTTTCGACGCGATGCGCTACGGCTTCCGCAGAGTGTTGGAGAGGCGCTCGACGCCGCCGAGAAAGATGGCGAATGGGTACGACGACGTTACCCGCATACCCTGAAGTTGGTTTGTGAAAGCAACACTAGCGCGGTCGCGTTCTGGAGGTGAGTTTCGTATGAACGTCTTGTCCACTGATCTGGGCAGCATGTCCTGTCAGTCAGCGGCTCATGTATGAATCATCTTCACACAGCTGGCCCCAATTCGTCGATGACCTTTTGGAGGATATGGGAGTCCCTGCGATGCGCAGCG